TAAGGCACAAGTGAGAGAAAGGAGAGCGCCTGTCCGGTTTGGGGTTCCCTTCCCTTGGCCTGGCCCGCGCCTCTGCCACCATCTCTCGGCAGACTAAGATAGGCCTGGCTGGGGAGGCCTCAGAGCCCAGCTCGCCGCCAAGGAAACAGAGCCAGCGGGCCTTCTGTGCACTGCGGCTGCCCCAGCAGTGCGGGCGGGGGCGGGGAAGAGGCGTCCCTACTCTCCGGCCCGGCAAGGGCCACCGCGTCCCTGCCCGGACGCTGGCGGCCCAGCAGAGCAGGCCGGCAACTCCCGACGCCTGGACGCTGGCTGGCAGACCCCGGGCCCCTCCCGCCCCCGCCCCTTCAGCCCCTAGCCAAATGAAAAGGGTTCTTGGGCCTTCGCCTTTGGGGGAAGACCGCGGGAACCCACTCTATCTTTGAGCTTTCCGCTCAGAAGGAGCCGCACACAGGTCTTCAGAATTAGCTGGTAGTCAGTCGGTGAATTCCACCCTCTCCCCTTCACAAACACAAACACAAAGGGGCCCAGAGTGTGAAGGGGCTTCCTGGGGGGGGGGGGGTGGTCCTTGTGATGAGGGGTCGGAGGGAAGAGGGGTTCTGCCCCCCTGACCGAGCCGGCAAGCTCTGGTCTCCGGTAGTCTGGATCACTTTTCTGCCAGTGATTGGAGCCGGCGGAGAGGAGTTTCCGCAGGGCCTCCAGCGGCAGTGGGCGAGTCTGCGACGGGAGCAAAGAGGCCCAGAGCAAACACCCTTTTCAAACCAGCCTCCGCTACTGAACTCCCAGACTTGGAGGCTGGGGTAAAGGAAGGACCCTGTACTCGCAGGAACTATTCCAAAACCTCTCTCCTTGTCCCCTCCGCCCTGGCTAGGAGCGGCTGTCCAGTGAATTGGCGCTCCGGGCCCCAGGAGGAATCTGGCTCTGCTTAGGCCAAGGTGTGTTCCTCAGGCCTGTCTCGGCATGGGGGAAGCGAGAGAGGTGGGCGCCAAGAACTGGGTCTGCCCATTGAGTCGAAAGTGAAATCCAAAGAAGGATTGGAACCTGCCGGCGGCCATTTTCTGATGGCATGGCATCCAGCATTTTGACTAAAACGCCAAAAGGCCTAACTCTAGAGGCGTTGGTGGGAGGACGGGAGTGTCTCTGAGGCTCGTTTGACCCTGCACTGCCCCTCCCCTTTGTTTACAAGTGTAGGCCTCTTCACCATACATACCAGACAGTTATGCTCTCACTCAGGAAATGTCAGTATGTTGGCCACAAAATACCACGCAGCGTGCAGAAACCCAACGTCACCAGGAGAAGAAAGCAATAATGTAACTCTTGAACCCCAGGTTCTCTCACCAAACCCTACATTTTTCGAGGTTTTGTGCCCAGGGTGGTTCCTCCATCAAGCACTACGCAAAGGATGTTTGAGCTTTAAGAACTATCCCACCTCGCAAAACATACGCGCTGATAAGAATTATTTGGGAAGGATACAGTGAAATCTCAGAGCAGCCGTTCAAGCAAACGGCCCATAGTCCTCCAAATGGGCACTGCAGGGACCAGGGTAGAGCGAGAGAGAGCAAGAAGGCACAGAAGAGAGAAGGGAAAGACAGACAAAGACAGGCGAACACCCAGGCCTGGATCTGACCTAGGGAGAAGCGCCTGGGACGACCGCCAGAGCTCCGCCCCAGTCCTTAGGCCGAGCTCCGTCTGATATCCAGGTGAGACTAAGAGAAGTCTTCTCCAGGGTGCTTTGAGGAATGAGAACAGTCAGGTACCAGCTCCCGTTTTCAGAGAGGGGCGGGAGAAGGAACTAGTCAGTGAACACCGTGTAAACTGGGGACCCCAACACGCCTAGAGCAAATAAGTGACCTGCCCTGGCTCGCGCACCCTGCAGCCCTTGGGCCGGAGAGGAAGGAGAGACCCTGCCTGGCCCGTTCGGCTCGAGTTCCACTGGGGGTGACCGCAGGTTGCTAGAGCCTTCACTGTCTGCCCTGCATTGTGAACTCACTTCAGCCAGCGCGGTCTGAAAACAAACACGTGCAGCTTCCCCGCCGCACTATTTTGGGAACCCAGCCAGCCGCTTTCACCCTCCCCAGCGCAGAGCGGTTCCCCAAGCCACCCGCGAGGGCGGGGGCACCTCATGTATATTCATCAGCACGTGGAACGGCGGGCCCTGGGCCACGCATGCGCACCACCCACACGGCTTCAGCCACAATTCGCAGCGGCGACTTGGAAATCACTGTTGGAGAAGCGGGTGATGCTAGGAGCTCCTCCAATGCTAACTACTGGACATTCGGTAACTGGACATTCTGTAGTTTTCCTATTAAAGGTGTCTTGTTGCCCTCCCCACACACACACAAACACACATACACACAATCAAAACTTATATTTCCATATGCTCATGGAAAGCCCAGGACAAAAATATCTGCATGCACATGCCACTCCACTTCCAACACCACCCTCTCTTGAGGTTTCATCTTTCTCACAACTTTCAAGGGTTTTTTTGTTTTGTTTTGTTTTCGTTTGTTTGGGTTCTGATTTTGTTTATTTGGTGGTGGTGGTCAGAGACAAGGTTTCCCCCTCCCCCCAATAGACAGAGGAAAACAATGAGTGACATTGAGTCTTCCTCAGTATCTGATCGACAATATGTACCTGTCTGTTTTCTGTACCTTAACGAAAATTGTTACACAAGATACAGATGTCAAAATTATCTTTTTTTTAAAAAATCAATAACTGTTTTGCTAAGGTCGTTTGCCTTGGAACTTGTAGGTAGTTTTTGTTTGTTTGAAGATGTAGCTCCAATGTGTTTCTACCACGTCCCATGCTGGTGTGTGCTGTAGGGTAAGAATCTCCAGCATATACTTACAGAGCTGCCCCACTGCATTAGAGGCGGATAAAATCCTGTGGACAGTTGAGAGCATACCTCTTTACTGTGAGATATTCTTTCCATACTAGATAGCTAAAGCCAATGTCTTAATCTTGAAAACCCCATCTCCTGTACAGCATCAATTGGAAATAAATTTCATACTGTTTTAGTTAGTCACTCTAAAGTAGAAATCAATGATAAGAACTGATGACAGATCCCAGTCGAACGGTAAAAATAGTCCCTGGTTTGGCCTGTTTCCTATTGCTTAGGGAGAGACTAGAATGAATCAGCCTTGCGTAGATTAATAGAGAACATTGCCCATATTTTGTGCAATTTACACCATTATATTTGCAATAAACTTTGAGGACAAAGCTCAATTGTAACGTTATAGGAAGTTATTAACATTTCTTTCTTATTTCTTGCCCCAAACTAGTTTTAACATATGAAAATGTAATTGCTGTATAGTTATCCTATAAAAGCTTAATTTCTTTATCTGACAGTTTTAATGGGTATATATTACAGACATAGCATGGTAAAAAAAAAAAAAAAAAAAACAGAAAGAGTACCAGGTATGATGTGAAACTTCATAGTTTATAGTGGGTTGACTAGCATCAGTGGGGTAAATCTTTCCATTGTCACCCTATTTTCAAATTTTCTTGAGCCAAAGAGTGATATCAACTGTGATCATCTTTACAAAACTACTAGGGTCTTTCTTCATCTTCTTCTTCTTTCTAATATGAACACCTAATTCTAAAGTGTTACTCCTATGCTAGGAAGAGGTGAGAACTCGACCTAGAAAGGAGATAATTTGGTAATTAGTGTTTCGAGTTGGGAAAAGAAAGAAGTATCAGTTGGAAATGTGTAAAATCTGATAGCTTCATATGTAGTCCAAAAACAGCCAAGGACCCAAGAAGTCCAGTGCCTTCACTGAAAGCGTGGCACACCATAGATAATCACTGCCCAACCCTTCTTAAACCAATGCTATGCTTCAGGGTCTTCTCCAAGTCACTGCCTGGAAAGCAGTCTGCTCAGGTACCAACCCCACCAGCACCAGCACGGACTCACTAGGTATCCAGGACACTGACGATGCTTTGGCCTCAAAAAGACACTCTCTGGGAAGGTTTTGAAATTGAGTGAGGTATTTGAGAAGTGCAGTTCTATTGCCAATACTTCAAAAGTTCTGAGGAAACTTCACAATCAACAAATAAAAACATCTAAATGCCAGACCCATCAGCAAAGAAGGTTAGTGCTATTTTCATTGTCAACTAAAGAAAAAAGAAAAAAAAAAAAAAAAAAGATAAGCAGATGGGGCAATTGAAAGGTTACATCTTTCTTTTGGAGGTGGTTTGCTTCTTAAAGGTTAACTTGAATGCTTGACTTTAAAAAATCAAAATCATCAGCTGCAAATGCTTAAAGCAGTTGGGGGTGGCTTTTGAAGAAGAAAACAAAGGATCTGAAATGTTTGAAAATTACTTAGTCCCAATATAAATGGTGCTTGTATATTTATATGCTTGCTCCATAAATGTACACACACACACATACCACAACTCATTTCTTTTCATTTCTCAGATATGATTGCTTATACTCAGGCATTTTCTGTTGACATAATATAACTTTTTAATAACTTGCTAGCTGTTCTAATCATTTGATAGAATCCAGAATACAATGCAGTCACAATATGAACCAAGTCAGTTTTCTACCTAAATAAAAATCCACAGCTACACATAGAAACCAACCATTTGCAGTGTCTTCAGCTCCTGCTAAATAGGGTCTAACAATATATTTTGCTGTTCACATTCATGTATTTCAAAACCTAATAGTCCATGAAGAAAAGTATGAAGAATACATCTCAAGAAGCAGACATTAAAGGTACCAGCAAAATAATAGACTGCATTTAAGTTTGAAGCATTATTTTAGGCGAACTATATCATTAATGACTTTTTCTTTGTGATGGGTATTGAAGAAGAGAATGTTGAAAGTGGGAGGGGGGGCTGACATACATGTTGGCTTATGCTATCTATAAAAGTTCCTTTCTGGTGAGTGAGATCATTCATACACACCTTGTATTCTTCAAATGTAGTTTTTAAAAAATTACTTTGGTTTAAAAATCCAAAGAAAATGTTGAAATACATAGTAACTTCCTTACTCTCCTAACACTCCTCAAATGGGTTTTTAAAACTTACTTGGTCTTCAAAGTCTAAAGAAAATATTTAAAAGATAAAATCAATTTTAAGTAAACATTTCCCCTAAAATTAAAAATTTTAAAACATCCTACTTGTCATATTGTGGTATTTAATTATTAAACAAAATACCAATGTGATTATCAGGCAGACCACAATAATAATGAGACATACATATTTCCAAATCTGAAGTAAATTGCTTTTTTTATGGTCAAGGAATATTTAAGATTTCTTCACTTACTATCTTCCTAAGTTTACTGGCAAAGTTATAAAAGTACTATTATTATGATGATTATCATAATAAAGCATACCAAGTTCTCTAATGTATAGGATAATTATTAATTGATGTGTTATCTTTCCTAGAAAGATCAGCTATATTTTGTTCCTGTTTCTACTTGTATTGATTATTGGACTTAATGTCACAATTTATTTTAAATACTACAATGTTGATTAATTTTAAGCCTTTAAAGCAAATTGGGACTAACTTTTGTTCTCACAAATTTTTGAGTTAGCAGCAATTTGTTTTTAGATGCCAGTGGTTTCTAACTTCCTTAACTCTTCAAACCTTGCAAGGTGGCGCTCTTTTCATGAAAAACTAATTTTACTCTTATAATCAGAATAACATTTTTTAAAAAGTTAAAGCACCATCATGCTCACCATTTGCGATGTACTGCAGAAAATGCAGCAAATCCATTTCTTAGTGAGTAAGAATCCACTGATTAAAAATAACAAATACAAATAGCAAGAGATGAAAGGCCAAGTCAACAAAGGATGTTTTAAAAAGAATTTAAAACCTTGATTTTGTCATTGGTCAACTACATGCCTGAAAAAATAATTTGCTTTAAAACAGATGAATGTCTTAAGGAGTTCTCATACTTTTGAAGGATTTCATTCTTGTTTTCCTACTCAAAGTTAATATGGCATGTGACTTCCTAAGCACACATAGTACATTAAAGCAGTTCCAGGTTCCTCCTTGCCCACAGTGAGGCCAGTTTTTGCATTCCCACTTCTACACATCCACACTCTTGCAACTACAGCCAAAGAACTGATTTGTGATCTCTGGCTAGTAGTCTGCCTAATGGGGCGATCATGCAGGCTACAACCAGAGACAAAGAAGCCAGAGTCCCTACCAGCACAGCTAACTTGGAGGGAGCAGCATAGCTTGCAAATCTATCAAACTAAACTGCAAGAAAGACAATCTGATTTAGAGAAAAGGCGTTCTGCTACAGTCATTAAGCACAAGTAATTTAGATTTTTTTATATTGTCTCCTCATTTACAAATTTACTGTATCAACGCCAGTCAATGGAACGAATTTCTTAAGTAAATGAGAAATAAATAAAAGAGATAGAAAGATAATCAAATTACATAAAATAATTCTCTTCCCTAGATATATTGTGGCGAGAACTAATAGTGGCAAAATGATAGGAATAATAACATATCATAGGATGTAATTAATTTAAATTAGCTTCAAGTTTGAAGAAATATAAGTAAAACACTTTATGGATGTTTACTTTTGTACAAAGAAGGAAGGCCTGGAAAAGCATGCATCAACATCTTGAAAATTAGTTATGGCCATAAATGGTTTAATTGAAGACAGCAATTTAAAATATGATATTGTAAATCTGCAACTTGGTTTCAGCCCAGGGAATTTAATTTGGGGGACAGCAGAACCCTCAGCTGCAAGTTCATTTGCACCGCTGTAGAGTGAACCCCTGAGCTTCTGACAATTCGCCCACATTAATATTGATGTCGCCTATGCAATCTATTTCTGTTATTTTTATGGTTGTTATTCTACGTCTGCAAAGGTCATTTAAATTATACTGCGACCGAAAATTCGTTTCATAAATTTTGATATAAATACTAATTACACCCTCTCGGAAAGCCAGCAGGGTAGCGTTCATTTATCACATTTATACGACCTGCGATGACAGAAAAGGCAGGCGAGGGAGGCTGGAGAGCTTTGCAGGAGACCCAGTAAGGCTGGAGGAAGAGGGAGCAGGTTGCTGGGGTGAAGAAGAAATTCCTACCACAATCACTGAGATTTAAGAATCTTTAATAAGGTACGAAAGGTTACCAAACAGTTCTGGAAACTAAAGTGTACATACGAGTTCTTCTAGCCATAAATATTGAATATCTGTAACATGGATAAACCGGCCCTTTACATGCGGATAAATATGGAAACTAGGAATTATATACAGTATGTGGTTGTAAATTTTGCCAAAAGCAACGGACAGATATAGTTTATATCTTTTTTTTTCTTTTAATATCACTTTACATAAACAAATGGAACAGTTTGACACGCAGATCCAGGCTCATACTATACGAATTCTTGACAGGACGCGAAACAACATTTTACTGCACTAAAGTACTTAGACTTTGGGACGAAATGTTTGCACTTTATACAAAAAAAAGCACATTAATACCAATAATATTCTGTTAGGTCGACGTGGAGACTGTAATCGTACAAAGTAATTCACATTTTGGTACACATTTACTAGAACATTCTTGCCATTCAGTACAAATAGTTGGCTTTCGGCCGCCCACCCCCTCCCCTCCCCCAACCCCTGGCCCCTCCCCCCTCCCCCAATGCAAAGACCACAACGCCACGACCCCACCCGCCCGCTCCAACTGAGATATAACTATTTACAGAATCCAACAGTACAGTTTTAAGCTAATAATTCTGTATTTACAGGATAGCAAGGAAAAAAAATATCCGAAGCCCCAAAGAGCCTGTTCTGGTTCCGACGAGAAACTGGCCCTGGGGGGAAGGGGGGAGCGGCATTTGGTCAGGTGGCCGCCTCCTCCTCCTTGAGACCCCCATCCGACCCCTTAGCTTTGTACAAAGCCTTTGCCAAAAAAAGAAAAAGAAAGGAGCTTTTTTTTTTTTTTTTTTTTTAAAGGTTTGATGCTTCCTCTCTCTTACTCAGTTCTGGGTCTATTGTAAGGTTTAAAAAAAATAGGATTGTGGGGTCTGTGGGGGATTGTTTTGATTCGAAGGGTTCTTTCAGTAATATTTTGTGTGTGGGCGTGTGTTCAGTCTCTTAAATAGGGTTTTTTCTGTGTGTTGATTCTGAGTTTACACGTACCATTCGTTAAAATTGGAAGAGAGCGCGCTGTGGCCAGCTGTGTGGTGGACCGCCGAGGAGGAGGGTGACAGGGAGCTGGTGGTCGGGTTGTCTGTGGAGGGAGAGACGATGGTGGGCGGCGTGGAGGACTCATAGCCCGAGCTGGCGGCCGGCGAAGGCTGCGAGCCCTGGGAGGAGGATTCATGGACCTGCAGGAAAATAGACGCGTTTTTACGGAGCTAGAGGATCCTCTCAGCAGCCGCCCCTGGATGGAAGAGCTGCGCTCCCCCTTACCTCCTCCCCAGAGGCTCGAGATCCCCCTGAGCTGCAGGAAGGCTGACCCCGGGACTCAGGCGAGACTCCCCAGCCTTATCCCGGAACGGGCGGTACTCCCGGGAGGAACAACAACGCTTCCCGGACTCACAAGAGTAAAGGAGTTCTGGGGAAGTTCTGGAATTGAGACCAGAACCCCGGATGGTTCCCGCCACAGCCCCGGAGATGCGCGCCAAGGTTAAGGTGAGCCCTAGGTCCGGGCGCAGGACCCCAGCTCTGTGGCTCTATTGCCAGCCGCAATGGCTGCAGCTTCCGCCGCCTTAACACGCTTATTAGCTGGAGCTCCAGACTCAGTAGCGGCCTCCATTCCAGAGCTCACTTTTTAACTTATTAGGAAACGGTGCTTTTCGGATGGCCTGGGACACCCTTATCTCCCTTTCCAGTTCTCCACAAAGTCCCATTCGGCTGAGTGGCACCTTTGCCTACCCTCCTCCTGCCAGTCCCGACCACCACCCGGCTGCACTCGCCACCCACACCGGCGGGAGAGCAGAGGCAGTGCCCCACTAAAAGACAGACGACGAGAGCCCGGCGATTACCTTCATGTGCTTGCGCAAGGAGCTGGGGTGCGTGTAGGACTTGTCGCACATCTTGCAAAGATAGGGCTTGTCACTCGTGTGCACGTGCATGTGCTTCTTGCGGTCGCTGCTGTTGGCAAAGCGCCGGTCACAGCCCTCAAACTCGCACTTGAAGGGTTTCTCCCCTGGTGCGAAGGGCGAGAAAGAAGCAGCTAATTAGAACAAATCCCGTGGCTGCTTTTTAAAATTTAAATAAATGAAAAAACAAAAACAAAGGAAAAAAGCCAAGCGTCCAGGGTTAGCACTTTGTAAACTCAAATACCCGAGTCTTCAAAAAACATTCCTTTATCTGCAGTGAATTTATAAACCGTTTAACTATATTCAAACTCGTAGTTTAATTAAATCCAGATCTTATTTTTAGGACTGGTTTTCTATTTTTATTAGTTTTTGTAGTGTTTGCTTGTTTTATTTCTTTTTATGTCTCAGAAGGGCAGCGGCTCTAGCTGCTGGTTTTTCTGCCTGGGGCTACTATAGACAAGACTTTGGGAGGCTCGTACCTAGCTCTGGGTTTCTAATTTCCACTTTGGGGCTAATTCTCCTACTGTTTTGCTCTTCTCTCCACCCCCTCCCCCTCCCCACTGCTCCTCACCCGCCTCCTTCATCTCCCTAACCTCACCCCACCCCAAACATACATTTTCCTTGGTTCTCTTGGCCCAGCACTCCGTGCCACGAAGGTTTCCCCGGCTCGGGCTTTAAGCCCGAAGTTCCTAGCGCTTTTCTAAGAAATCTCCAGGGCAAAGCAGACTGGGGAATGAGACTGCATCCCGGCCTCACAGTCATAAGAGGCCTAAAATGCCGGGCAGACATCACACCACAGGACCCGCGCTCCTGGCAAACTTTTTTTTTTTTTTTAAACTGTTTTTTAACTGTTCCAAAATGGTCTCTTCATTGTTTTTAAAGCCAACTCCAGGCATTTGAAGTTTGGAAAACCCGCTCCATGGAATCTGAACGACAAAAGGGACTTGCCCGCTTCCTGCCAACTCCTCCAAGCCTCAAGTCCACTCTCAAACCAGCTGCAACTAAAACTGGGCTCTTTAAATATATGCATAAACCCCAAAGCTTTCTCAGGCCTTATTTCTCCAGTTCTCTTTCTGTTTCTGTTTTAGTAGCTTTCTATTTTCCTTACCCAATGCCTACCAATTTCTTTAGCGCTTCTTTTGGCAAAACCTTCTCTGAGGTGCTTGGAAAAGGATTGTGGCCAGAAACAAGCATTTAGGTAGGCCTGCAACTCCCCAGCTTCCTGCAGTCGGCCACCTCACCGATTTCACTCGAACCAAGGGCTCCGCCAAGCGGGGCTCGACCCCGGTTTTGCGGGCCTATTTTATACTTCATTTCCTTTATTAACTCCCTTAAATCCTCATCCGAGCCTCTCTCCACTTTTTTATAATTTCAAATTCCATGCTCAAAACCAATGTATACTTCAGCAGACTGTCTGCCAGCTGGGACCTGGTACCCGGAGCTTACGATGGCTAGGTTTGTGCGCCCCGGTCGCTGACTTTTGGATTTGGGGTCCCAGGCCCAGAGAAAAGAAATGGGGGTGGGGGAGATGATCAAGGAGAGCAGTTTCCGTACCTGTGTGCGTCCTTTTGTGGATCTTTAAGTTCTCAGAGCGAGCGAAGACCTTGCCGCAGCCAGGAAAGGGGCAAGGGAAAGGCTTCTCGCCCGTGTGCACGCGGATGTGGTTGACCAGTTTGTATTTGGCTTTGAAGGGCTTGCCCTCGCGCGGACACTCCTCCCAGAAGCAGATGTGGTTGCTCTGCTCTGGGCCGCCAACGTGCTCTACGGTGACGTGCGTGACCAGCTCGTGCATGGTACTGAAAGTTTTGTTGCACGACTTTTTGGGGTTGGCCAGCTGTTCCGGCTCGATCCACTTGCAGATGAGCTCCTGCTTGATGGGTTGGCGCATGTATCGGAAAAAGGCGCCGGCGCCGTGGTGTGCGGCCATGTTCACGTTCATGGGCCCGTAGCCGTGCAGCTGCGGCGCGGCATAGTGCTCCGAACGCGGGCTGGTCACCTGGCCATACTGCTCCGGCCGCGGGTACATGTCCCCCGAGAAACCGAGCCTCATCTGCCCGTTGACCACGTTGGGCGACGCGTGACCCGCTGCCTGCTCGTGAAGCCCGGGGAAGAGGAGGTGGCCCGCGGCGTCCGTGTGACCGTGTGGGCCCCCGAAGCCTCCCGCCGAGGCGGCGAACAGGCTGTGCTGAGCACTGGCTGCCGCTGCCGCGTCGCCAAAGCCCCGATTGCGGAACAGAAAGTCCCGCGTGGAGTTGAAGGCTGCGCTCGAATAGGAGCCAACGTGGCCCGGGTGGTGGTGATGGCCGAGGGCCGCGGCGGCCGCGTAGCCGGGTGCCTGAGACGTGAAGGCAGTCTGGCCGGCCGAGGCCAGCTCATGCGAGCTGGGATTGAGCTTGAAGGCACCCATGCCGTCGGCGAACGGGTTGATGCCCAGGCCTACGTCGCGCTCGGCCACGTCGCCCGCCGAGTGGTGGCGGGACGCGCCAAAGGTGGTCACGCCGATCGCGGGGTACTGGGGGCCGGCGTCCAGGAGCATCGTGGCTGCTCCGGGCGAGCCCCGACCTCCCCCGCCCCCCCCACCCTCGCCTGCCGAGGAGGGAAAATCAAGAGGAGGAGGAGGAACGGGAGGCGGAGGAAGAGGAGGAAGAAAGAGAGGGAGGGGGAGTCGACCCACCTCGAGAAATCCTAGCCCGCCGGCAGCGGCACACCCGGTCGCCTGCCTAGCCAAGCGCGGGGAAGCCGGACAGCTGCGGGCCGGGAGCTAGGCGGGCTCCGGAGCCCGCCGCACAGACCCCTCCAGCCGGGCTCTCACTTTCTTGTAGCTCAGTCTCTGCCGAGAGAGCCCCTCGTCAAGGTTGCCCGGGGAAAGGCAAGAAGCATCTCAGCCCCCCAAAAAAACTTCCTCCTGGATTTGTGGCATAGAGGAATGTGAGCGCCGGAGCCGCTACTGCTCACCCTCTCTCCTCCTCGCGCAGCTCGCCCCTCCTCACTTCTCCACTAGCCCCTCGCCCTTTCTTTTCTCTCTCCTTTATCTTAGGCTCGCCTCCTCGCTCCTTCACTCTTCTTTTCCCCCTCTGTATTTTGTAAAAAAAAAAAAAAAAAAAGAGGGAAAAAAGAAAGAAAGAAAAAGCCAAAGAAAAGGCGCAAATCATGCACAATATTGTCTTTTGCGGTTTATCTTCCTGGGGAGAAACTTTCACCTCCTCAGCCGGGCGGTGAGCGCGAGACTGATAGCAGCAATCATTCCTGCAGATAAATGAATTGAAAGGACGACACCGTCCCCCCCTTGATGAATGAGAGCAGGGGGAGGCGTCACGTGCCGCCATCGTGAAAGCTCATTGGTGCGCCCTTGTTCCCCCCGCCCTCAGCCACCGCGCCAACGGAGGGAGCGCCGAGGCTCCGCGCACCGCTCATTGGCCCGCCTGCCTCATCAATCCCAGGTATTGTAAAGCGCTTGACATCCCCTTTTGACAAACAGGGCTGCCAGGAGTAGCAACTTTTTTTTTTTAGCCAAATTTTTTTTCCCTCTTCTCACGGAATTTTTTTTTTTTTTTTTTTTTTTGCCACGATTCCTTTTCTTTTTGGTACTCATATTCTCTATCTCGCCCTCTCTTTCTCTCTCTCTCTCTTTCACTACCTCTTTCTCCTTCGAACTTGCTCCTCTTTGAGCGAGTAGCGACTTCGGGTGTCTCCAGGAACAGGAGACAGGGATGGAGCTGGTTAACATTGCGAAGGCACTTCCAGAATGTCCCGAATGTCCCGATTCAGCAACTTTCTATTCTTTCTTCCTTCCTTTCCCTGCTTTTAAGGGGCTTTTGTTATTTGCTCCTTTTGAAGTTTGCTTTTCGCTTGCCTCATCCCCTTCCTGTTTATAATTTAAGATCTCAGGAGCTCACAGACTCTCCTCTCTCTCTCTCAATCTCTCTCTCTCTCTCTCTTTACAAGTGTTGTGATTTCTCAGAGTAACCGGTTTCCTTATTTTTCCTTACTTTTATCAAATCTTTCAGGCCTCCTGCGCCCTCTTGTCCTCCCTAAAAAATAAACACAGATGGATGAGAGCTCCTAACTTTACAGGTTCTTGAGCTTTGTTTGTTTTTAATGGCAAATTGGAAACATTGTTGCCGATTTCCTTTTATCCCCACCTCCCCCTTCTGTTATTTTTCTCTTTTCTCCCATTTTCCTCATCTCCCTCGACTGCCCCAGCCAACCTCCTCCCTCTACACCCTTGTTTCTAACTGGGGCCCCATTCATTCAGGTAAAACTGTAAATTTCCCAACGCTCCATTGTTCCTCTGGGCTGCCCAAAGCTCCCTAGAGATCCTCCCCGAATACTTTTTTGGTATTTAAATCCCCGATAGATAGGACCAATGTAAATTTTGTGACATTCAAACCTTTTCTAGTTCACAAATCAGTCACCCTTGTCACAGTTATTGAAATTCCGCAACTCGCCACACCAGGACGGTGGAAAAAGCGGGCGCGGTCTTTGTTGCCGACCAGGCTTTTGATCGCCAGAGAAAATTTACTTACCTTCAGATGAGTGAGCAGAAAAAGAAATAACACTCCCTTTGATTTAGTTAGGAAAATGCAGACATTTGGATTCAGTGCAAACATACAACACTCGCTTGTTTTCGCGATGCGGCCCTCGATTAACCTGTCTTTGCCCAGCGCAAAGTCTATTCAACAACTGCGCGTAGTTGCTTTTTGTCCTGTCCACAAAGAGCCATTGACTATATATTAAAATGATTGTTGAAAGGTAGGGGAGTAAGGCACTTAAAAGCAGGAAGAAGAAAAAAAAAAATCCCTGTGACTCAATCAATTAAGCCCAGAAACATTTATGCATTTCAAAAAATGCACGGGGATGCGGGGGTTGGGGGATGAAGGTCGCATTTCTCCGCAGCTCTGTTTAAAACCCAGCAGCCTCGGCCCGAGGGTTTAACTAAGGCGTCTGCATATTCATTAGGTCTAATTATTTTCTAGTAAGGAAAACACAAAAAGCCAAGAGTCGGAATCCTTCAATTTATCCTTTGTTTCTAACTTCATTTGGCTTCTTTGCAGCTGAATCACAGCCCTAAACTCTTTTTCCAGACAAAGAAACCTCAACTCATCCTTTCACGGGCGGCCGGTTAGGAAATTCAACCAGTGCTCCAGCAAGAGGAAAATGAAAATGAATAATTTTTTTTTTTTGCCCCATCGCCCGCACGGGTTGCAGAGCTCGGGAAAGGCTAGGCCAACGTCAGGGGCTCCTTGCCTTTCTGGTTTTCTGGTCTTTTTACTGACTAGATTTGTGCTTGGGACGAGCAAGTTTTTCCTGGGCTCTGCTGGCTCAAAACCCGGCTTTTGTATCCGAGATGGTTTCCCGGTATCTGAAGGGACCTGGGCAAGCATTTGTGCTTGTTATGCTGAGAAACAGAAATTCAAGACGGAAAAAAAACACACACACCAAATGCTCTGTCCCCAGCAACAAGTCTGAGTCTAGCGGCCAGCATTTCCCCGCCAACTTTGAATGGGACCATGAATGGGAATGGAATGAAAAGGCTGGAAGTTAATGGGTTGATTGTTTTATCTAATTATATAAGTAATAGATAATATTAATCATATATATATGTTGTTGTTATCATATATGTGTATGTGCACGCCACTCTGAGTCTTTTCTGCTTTCTGGAAGGGGAAGTTGAATTCTGTTGAATGCAGTTCTAAGAAAACCTCTGCAAGTTTTTCTCTAGAGAGTGTTCTCTCACTGGGGAGAACAAATATCATATTGAACCCACTTCGCCTTGCCTCTCGAGAAAACAAGGGAGGGGGCTTGAGGGGGGAAAATAACTATTGAAAAGAGGGAGGGAAAATAATTCTTCAGAAAAAGAAAAGTCAGTCTTCTACTTTCCAGTCTGTGGCAAATCCAACGGGGAAGTTCACAAGAGTGTATTTTTAGGAAACGCGTCCAAATATACACGGTAAGAGTGAATGTGAGAGGGAGGAAAAAAAAGTTGTGGGTTGTAGAAGTTATCAAGTGGGATTTGCGGCGCTCTCTGCAGGAAACGCAAGCGGCTCCAGTTCAAAGCCACATGCACCAACGTGACATATAAGCCATTAAAATATCATCCTGACGGCTCATTTCTGCTTCATCATACATTCCCTAACTGCTTCCCGAAAGCTGGAAAAGGAGAAATGAAGGATGACTGCCTTATTGGAACCACAAAGGAGAGACTTGGAGGGGTTTGTGGTCCCCCCTCAGCCACCCCCAAGTGATGTGCAGAAATGAGGCGATCCGGGCAACAGGTGGAGCCAGGTAAGTGCATGAGTTCAGGGGGTATACAGCCCTAACCCGGTACCCCTAATGGTTAGGGTGCAAGCAACCTTATGGGAGCGATGGTACCCAAACCCTATTGGGGACAGAGGTCCAACCAGTTTTTCTCCCTAATACCCTCCCCCTTAGCCCCCAACCCAGTGAAGGCCCCACCCCCACTGACATTGAGGAGAGGAGGGTGCCCTTCTGCAAAGGGGCAACGTTGGAAACCGGTCCATCCCCTCTCCCCAGAAGTGGGGGGAGGGGCACAAATGGGGTTCCCACTGGCACGGGGACCAAAACCAGCTTGCTGCCCTCCCGCCTTCCCTTTCCTCTTTGTAAATGGCCTAGGTGGTGTCCCACTGTGGGCACTAGATGGGGATTCGTAGTTCAGAGCTACCCTAACGCCAACTGAGAGGGGCCTGCGCCGGAAGGGGGCCCCTTCGGGCAGTTTCTCCACTCTGCCCCCACCGGGATGGCTGAGAGGTACTCGGCGTCACCTCCCCAGCGTCAAAGGAGCCAAGTTAGCAGGCCAGGCTGGCAGCAAGTCTACGGAACTTCGCCCCAGCCTGACTACGGATGCCGCCCAGCGCGGCTTCTCGCCCTCCCTCATCCTGGGCCCGCTTCAGGACACTGACCCATGGGATCCGCTCACTGCGCGCAGCTGGCCGCGGGTTCGGGACTTGGCTTTCTTTCTCGAGGATTCGAATGAGGGCTGGGACTCATTTCCTGGGGAGCAGGCCACAGCGTCAGCCGCCTTGGACTATGGGCACAACACAGGGAGAGTGGAAATTAGGGGCGAAGTAAAGCGGGAACAGAGTCGGGCTGTGACAGAAATCCAGGACTGGCTCAAAGGCTTGACCAGAAAGTTTGGGATTGATAATGGCCCATGGGGACGGTTGGGAGCCAGCTTTTTCTTAGGAATGGAGACGGGGTGTTGGAAAGCTGCCTTTCTGCCAGCCAGCCTGCAAGAAACTCCTTATGGATTCCGAGGTCATATTTCTCCCTTTTTCCAACAATATTGGCCTCACAGCAACCCACGTTGCTGCAATGTCTTCCTTTCCTCTATTTCAGACGCTTGCAGGTTGGAGGAAGATGGGGGGGGGGGGGGTGGTAAGAAAAAAAAAGGGGGTGGTGATGGAGAGTTAGATGCCCAAACTGGTTCTGTAGTCCAGCCATTGCTGCAGGCGGTACTCTGACACCGAAAAGTCGCCCAGGCTCCAGTGCAGAGGTGGGGAAACCGAGCTACTGGCAGAAAGAACAGGAAAAGGAGAAAATGCTCTCGCAGAACCTAAGCTTATGGCACAAATTCCTAGCACTTAAGGCCTGGGCAACGGTGGTTAAGGAGGCTCAGAGGGCTGCAGGCAATCAAAGACTGCAGGCAGAGGCCAGAAGCACGGTATTGCTCCTACTAGTGATCTCCCAGCCAGCGTGCAGCGGTCTCTGCTCTGTGCAGCGCCCAGGCTGATTAAGCTGTGGCGGAGAGCCGGTACGCCTCTTCGGCGCTGGGTTCGTTCGCATGGATAGTGAGTTAAATTCATGTGTAACAGCATTGAAGGCTGGAGCCAGAAATTGAGGCTTAGAAAGCAGGTTGTAGATGACCTCTGACCTTGGCCAGGCCTACTCTATCTAGGGCGGCCTCACAACATTCGGACTTGGCCTTTCCTCAAAATAAAATGGTGCCTTTTGTACCATACACACTACCCCTCCTTTGCCCTGGTTCTGCACGATCAATCACGGGACCTGGCTGGCATCCTGTTCTTCTCTGAGAAGTGGGGGTGGGGAGAGGCAGATCCCACTGTATCTCCAGGGTGTACTCCCTGAGTGGTGATTCGGTGACCACAAGCTAGTGTGGGAAGACTGTCTGGTGCAAGCATGCTGGTAAACCAACCATGCTTGTGGCAGGCCTTCTACATCAGAGCTTCTTGGGAACCTGTGGTTCTGGGGGCCAGGGAGGGTCCCCACATTTTGTCACTCCTCCGTAAGTGAGGTGGCTGATTTGCCAAGTTGTGTCAGAGTTTGCACCATAGAAGATGTTTTCCTTCATCCCCCACAGGCCTAGTGCTGGAGATGCCTACTACTGAAAGCAGATTAAGGTGCCCTCCCCTGCCCTAATTCCCATCTGCAACAATTGTTTGCATGCCTGTGGGTTTGTAATAGGGAAAGAGCTATTAGAACCTGGAGGCCAAACTGACCCAGCCCTAGACAGAGGTCTCTAGGACCTCACACCCATTTCTCTTGAAATAAAAAAAATAAATTCTATTAGCTTCAACCAACCAGGCCTTTTCCCATACTAAATATCCTACCAAGAGGACATTTCAGAGTGAAAATGCCCAGCATGTGCCCTTCTGTAGGAATGCAGAATTAGGCCTCCTTTCTTTCCTGATTTTTGCATAAAGAAGCTTATTAAATTTGGGGGTGGATGCCTTGTGGTTAGAAAACATTGAAACAAACAAACAAAAAAAATGAAACCCTTTGGGAAAAGGTGAGTCTGGCTGCATTCCCCAGAAACTAGAAAACTTGGAACTAGAAAAGATGGTAGAGAGAAAGGTAAAAACAGCAAAGTAGTTCAAATGCAGGTGGAGAATAGAGAGAGAAAAGAAAAAATCTAAGTGTAGAGAACTAGAAACCCTTTGAGATAGCAAAGTTCCACTTGGATTTGGCCTGTGGTTCAACAAGTTAAACAATTGATTGTTCTGTGGGTTGGAGTGTCAAGACGGCAGACGTCCTCGTCCTCATTGACACAAAGTCTTGTTGTGTTTGTCCATCCTGAGACCTTTTCAAAGGCTGTTTGTCTTTCTGGGCCATACGGAGTGTCTGGGATCGGTGGATGGCCTCTATTTAGTTGCTTCATTGCCTCTAGCCTTCTCTGACAGACACAGAGCAGAGGCCTCCAGGATGACTTTAAAGACAGATTTTTAAATGGCCAAAGGCTTGGCAGCTTTAGCTACAGAGTCATTCTGAAAAGGAACACATGTATATTAAGGGGATGTTTGTGACCATCTCAACTAAGATATAAAGGGTAACTAGGATCCAGTTTTGAAATAGATGCCTTCTTTAAAAAAGCTTGTTAAATTGTACTATTTTATTAACTGTAAAAATCAACCACTGATGGCTCCAAAATGAATGTGGGAGGAGGATCATATGAGGCTAAGGTATTCTGCATCACCACAGGGTAAGACAGGATCTGCAAAGCTTCAAAGACAGCCCTATACTCCAACCCTTATAGCTCAGTTATAACACACTAATGTTTTTGTTTTTATTTGTTTGTTGTTTAGGTTTTTTTTTTTATTAGTTTGTTTGTTTGTTTTGTTGTTTAACCTCTGAGGAGACAGCAGTCCCTCCACATATTAAATCCCACTTAACCCAACTAATATAGATATTTTTTTAAATTAATGGAACTTCCCATAGAATATATTCAAATTAGAGCTTTTTGAATACTCCCTGAAAAGAGAGTTTAAGTCCACTTGCAAAGCAAAGTCACAAAGTGAGTTTCTGATAAAGTCAAGTTGGAAATTATTATATTTATTATTTGTTTTCACCAGAATGTATTGTTCTGTAATAAATATAGGTAGTCCTCAATAGAGTACTTACCTTTAGCTACAAAACTTGAAAATGGTCAAAGAAAAAACAGAAGACTCTCTTCAAACCAACATCTTCACTGACACATTTAGGCCACAGGATGTAGCCATACAACCTAGTATCCAATTGTTTGACTAGTAACTGTCCTCCTTTTCTTCCCAAACAGGCTCAAAGTCAGAAAATGAGATACAAGGCTTCCTTGGTGATGAGGAAACGATTACGGCTTTACCGAAACACTCTGAAAGACTCAAGTAAGTTAAGATCCTCCTCCTTGAATATTGGTTTCTTGAAGGTTTATTTAGTTTCTATCTATTTTTGGAATGAGGAGTTTTGTTTTAATTTTTGCTTATGTTAGGTTGTGATCTGGGGGTATTTCTTAAGTTCAATGAAACTTAGAGCAACATCTTGGTGTTTGATGCATTTGCACACAAGTCAGCAACACAACATCCCACCAGCAGCCGGATAATCCCCCTCAATGCCTACTCATCTGGACATTCTAGAATTAATATTTGACGACTCTCTCATTGAAACAACCACCCCTGACCTTTTGCAGCTTCACTGTCACATTATTCTATGACATATTCATCCTGAATTCATTTCCGGACAATTTGATTGGAATGAGGTTTGACATGTATTGGCTTCCATGAAAGAAGTAGACTTTGATCTTGGTGATGGGGTTTACATGATATGCATCATCTTTACCAGGAACACCAGCCTTCTGCAATGTGGTGGTGAGGACGTTCCCACAATGTGGTGTCTGAACAGGGAGTGACTGACAGCCATTCTGTCAGGAATACCTTCATTGTGAAGAATTTAATTTAATATTCCATTTAGAATAAGCATATGATTTAGGGTTGGGTGTTTTCCCTTCCAGGCGTCTAGTTTCCTTTATTTCAACCACACCACCAGCTGACAATTGTCGCCAATGATGTTCCCTTGATGTTAAGCAAAGCAACCCTCTTAACAAAAGTTAAATTGACAATCAGAAAGTGTCTCTCTTTTATAATTTTTAGATGATTTTATGGAAAAATTCTTTAAAGAGATGTAGTTATTATGTAAATTTATTTGTTTTTGGTTCCTTAAAGCTGTTCTGGAAGATTCATTAGCCATATTTCTTAATATTTTGCCAAAAGATATTTCTAAGACCCCTGGTTTGGAAATTAAATTCTAACCAAGTGTATATTCCTCTGTACTCAGTTAATACTGAGGATTGAAGCTCAAACTTTCATAGCAGATGGGAAGAAAATTCTCCCTTACCTTCAAAATCCTGATAGCTCTCATCTCTTTTGTACAATTTAGAGTTGGACATATAGGCTCCCGGGGCTTAAGTTATTTCTTTTCATAAGACTAGTGACAACCTCCCACCACAGGAATTTTGAAGCTAGTATGTGAATAGCCTAGGAAGAGATTTGGGTGGTAACCTGGCCAGAAAACTGGGAAGAAATGACTGAGCAAGTGACTGCAGATCTAGATGCAGAACATTCCACTGGTTCATAAGACTTGTGCTTGGTCAGACTCTGTGCAGTGGACCTCAACTTCTGGAACCCTGCTCTGAGGGAAACCTGCAGCAGTTAAGCATCACTTAACATTGCTTAAAAGATCAAAATAGAAAAATAGCCTAGCTATTGATCTTAAATCTCCTCAGTTTCTTTCCTTTCCAAGGGAAAGAGGGCAGACATTCTTCCACTTGAGCCAATGATGTGAGGAGCTCTGGCAGATGGTACGACAACCAAATTTCTACAGGTTGTCTAGAAAAATCAGTTTAGGTCATGCTGTTGCAGTAATCTGACTGGAACAAGCAGAGGTAAGTGGGGCTTGATTCTGAACACTGAGCAAAGAATGTACAGAACTAAAGCAAATAATAATATTTTGTTTTTGATAGTAGAATATGTTCCAAACAGGATCCCATGAAACCTCACAGTTTTTGTTTGTTTTGTTTTTTGTTTTAACCTCTTCCTGGGATCTCTGAGCAAGAAAGTTAACTCTCAAAGATTCCATCATTAGGGTTCACCCAATATTTTAGTCCTGAGCCAGAGTGGGCTGAGAAAACTTCCTTAAAGAAAAATTCTGAAAAATACTGAGGACATAACCACTTCTCAGCCTGCCCAATTGGAGAGTCTCTAAAGCCTGGGCTCCTTGTTCCTTGGGCACTGGAAGGCCACAATGCAAACTAAATTATGCTTCCCTGACATTGGTGTTCCACCTATGTGGTTAGCTGAATACTGCTTTGATTTCAGAGATAGGCCTTAAAGTCCCTTATGTATAACCCTCAAAGTTTCTTGTCTATAAATATTAGTGGGGGAAAGGTATATATATATATTTGTATTATGGCTGTCCCTGAGGAAATGTTTCCCTGGGAGAATGCCTGGTGCCATTGCTGTATTTAGCCAACCAAGTGGCTCCAAGGAGCTTGCATGGATCAGGCAACATCAGTGACTTGCAGGTCAGGTGTCCCTGGCTACTCAAGAAACATCTACCTAGATGAGTTCAGATGTTTTCATACTTAAATGGAAAGCTTCCCTGGGGAAGGAGCTCTATAGGTCCAGACTCCTCTTGCTGTTTTGGCTGAATCAGATGTCTCTGCCTTTCCACTGCTGGTATAAAAAGATATATACATATGTTCAAAGCTTTTTAAGGGCAAAGTTAGTAACTGAGAGTGTATTGTATATGAGCAATCTATGTATATAAATCTTCGGCTTCTTAACCCTGGAGTCCACAGAATCAGTTAGAATTTGGTTCATGAACTTGGATGGGAAAAATAACATTTATTTTCACCACTTTCAAATGGAAAATTAGCTTTTCATTTGGGGGTTGTTGGTTTTATTTCCTATTGTGAGGGTGGGCAACATACCACATAACTACCAGGAGCTCATTGACCTCACCAGACTTTCAAATACAGCCTAAAATGTGTTAAGAACCCCTGATATGGGGGGGGGGGGTCACACTGTACATATTAAGGCATCAATTTCAGTGCAAATTAGAGTTTTAGTCAAACTAAAGTGGATGGTGGGTTTGTAGATTACCTAGGTTTAGGTGGCAGAAGTAATATTTTAATTGCTGGGCTATTACAGAATAGCCCCTGTACTTAGGCCCACATGCCACAGGGAAAGTTAACTAAGTTGTTGTTAAAGGAAGGATAGGAGGAAAATCAAGGGAAGAGGTACAAGGGAGGGACATGCTTATTTTTGTTGTTGTTGTTGTTTTGTTTTCATTTCTCCCATGGGTTCAGCCTAAGCAACTTCATCATTCAACATACACCTTCACTGCAGGAAGCTTTGAAATCACTCACTGAGACATGCGAACACTTCCACAGAGAGCAGGTCCCAGCCCTAGGTGAAAGGGAAAATAGGGTGGGAGAGCATGTAAAGAGGCAACTCTGGGCAAAGGGAGAACTCCCAGAAAGTGAGGAAGTGAGGGAGGGTGAAAGTCAGAAAAGGAGAGAAATCCTCCAAGTCTTTTCTCAAAATCACTGGGCAGAAGCCCCTCCCTTTATGAGCAGAAGGAATCTGGTTGAAGGGTTGTCAAACTCTCTCTTTGGAATTTTTTGTTGTTGTTGTTGTTGTTGTTAATGCTAAAGCAGCATCTATTGGTAGCATTGCCTAAGCTCTTCCGGACTGAGGAGCAGTAAGACCCTGACTTGTCAAAGCCGAGGGAAATTACTGTGGAAGTTAATCCCCTGATAAAGTACAGCACCGAAAGAGAGCCCCCTCCCTCACAATCCCGGAACAATGAATTAAATGAAGAAAGTCTCAAAGAATCTGTCAACCATTATAAATAATTGTTTTTTTGTTTTTTGTTTTAATGTAAAAGAAGCTCTTATTTACAACCCTTGGTACTGGGAATGGGTGGAGTAGCTCAGTCAAATTAGAATTCCTTGTAATCTCAAACTTCTCAATTTCTGGGAACGGGATTTTATACTAAATCATCAAAACTGCTCTTAAAAATCTTAGCATTTCTCTTTGGGGAGTCTCCTCGGAACACTTGGACCCATATTTTCGACTATGTAGAGTAAGGCAGGAATCTGGACTAGCAGCCCTTTAAACCCTAGGACTGCGTAGCTGGCCACAGCCTGTCTGCGCAGACAAAGGACACTCCTGCTTACGCCACTATCAACTGGGCCTGATGTGAAGTTCTTTTAGACTGCCCGCTCGCCGCCAGCACCACAACCACCACAATCGAGCTCGCAGCTCAGGACAGAGTCCTGTGGGAAGAGGTCCTGAGTGTGCAAACCCTCTCATAGCTTGGGCTGAGAAACGTGGCGTCCACTCTTTACACAGCCCTGGAAGTGAGAAATAAGGAAGGCAGACACTTGGTCCAGCAGCAACAAGTGGTTAGAGCTGAGAGTGGACATACTCCCTTCCCCCCTCCCCACCCCCCCCAACAAAACAAAACAAAACAAAACAAAAACCTCTTTCTCAGAGGTTTCTTCCAGCAGCAGGATATAGAGTTTTGTTTCTGTGGCCACCTTGCCTGCGGGTCTTTGGGATTGTTGGCCCAGAGAGTTCTCAGTTCCTTACTGGACGGATTGGGGTGGGTTCGCAGCCAGGTAATCTTTGGCTTGGACTCACATCTGGTTCAGATCCCGGCGGATTCTAGGGTTCTCTGAGCTTGGCAAGCAGCAGGGAGGAGGGGCCGCTGAGGCTAAGAAGAAAGACGAGAGTAGGGAGGAGCAAGAGAGGGAGGGAAGAAGAAAGAACCAAGTAAGAAGTATAGTTGCGGTGGTAGAGGAAGGAGGGAGGAAAAGAGGGCGAAAAAGAAAACGAGAAATTATGGAGATAGCAAGGAAATAAAATTAGGTTCCAGGGTCTAGGGCCTAAGAATTCTTACTTCACCCTCAATTCCAGTAACCTTGTCGCCTCCCTCGCGCACACACACAGCTCGCTCTGAGAGGTTGTGACTCCCAATACAATACACCTCCCTGTCCGCCCCCCACCCTAATTCGTGATGAATGTAGGCATACACCAGCCCTGTTCACTTTCTGGAGTCGCTAGCCGAAACTGACCCACCAAGCTTTGTAGAGAAGACAGGGAGGTGGCTCTAGGAAAGAGAGAAAAAAAGAATCCATGCCCAGGTCAGAGCGCATGAGCAGTAAAAGCGTGAG